GGCCTTTCCTGTTGATGCTCAGGAGGTATGGGGGAGGAACAAGAGGATGGGGATAATGGTCTTTGGCAGTCACATGAGGTGAGGAATGCAATGGGGACCGGGACCTCACCCTTGGGTGGTTGCTAATTATTATGCTGCATTTTCTACAATGTGTGGAGCCATGCATCTCCCAGCTCTTCTGTCATTAGGGGAGATGGGAAGTTGGGTTCCCACCTGTCTCTGGGCTAGCCAGGAGATGATGGGTGGGGACTCCAGGTGGAAGCTGTAGAAGCAAAAGCCAAGAGAATGGCAGGCTTTCCATTGTTTTGTGCAAGAGCTGAGCTCTGTTTGGACATAATTGGTTCTGCCTCTTCTTTAAGCTGCTCCATAGGTGCCAAGACCTTTAGGCTCTGGCAGTGGGAGAGGGCTACGCTTCTGACTAGACTGGATGCAAGTCCCAAGTGTTTGACAATCTTGGACATGCCCCAAGGAGCAACTGCTCCTTTTTTGGGAAAAGTACCCACCATACACATATCTCTACTAGCAGAGAGGGAAGGCTCGGGTGTCTTCGGCTCTGGATGGCTTGGAGAAATGTGTTCACAGCCAGTCTCAAGACCTCTGGTTTTGAAAACTTATTATTTCTTATTGTCAAATGAGATCATCTCATTCCCCTGGAGGCTGAGATTCAGGGGGGCGGGAAGCTGAGCCATCTGAGTCCTCTTCAGCAAAAATGCCATCCAATCCCCAGCTTCAGGCCAGGAATATTTACCCATGTTTATATAACCATGGCAACAGGTTTTATTCTCTATCACTTAAACCCTTAAAAGAAGAAGGAATAGCAAGCGGCAGCTCTTTCTCTACCCTTGTCTCCTTCCCTGCTCCAAGAAGACATACAGCCTCAGAAATGAGATCCGTACAGCCTCAGAAACATGCATGCACATGTGTACATATGCTCTCTCTCTCTCACACACACACACACACGCACACGCACACACGCAAGCATGCGCTTGGGAAGACATTGGCTTTCTCAGGGTTTTGTAGTGCCCATCATCATGGCAGGATTTCTTCTGTATTAGTTACTTTTGTATTGCTGTGACCAAATACTTAACCAAAACAATCCAAGGGAGGATTTATTTATTTGGTCATTTGTCCATGGTCACTTGGCTCTGTGCTTGTGGACCCATTATGAGGCAGAGAACATCATGGCAGCATGAGAGTATGGCAAAGAAGTTTCTTCATCTCATTTTGGACAGGAAGCAGAGATGATAGGAAGGGAACAGAGATGAAAGGAAGGGATCAGAAAAAAATATAGTTCCCAGGGTGGAGTGCTCACACCCCATTTCCCGCCTCCCCCCCACCCTGCCCTGTGCCCTCCATCTAGACTCCATTTCTTACCTTTACCACTTCCTACTAATGTAGTCATATTAGGACTCTATCAAGGGATCAACTCATTCATTAGGTTTGGGCCCTCCTGATATATTCTTTTTTTGGGGGGGGGTTCCGATCGTGGGCCTGAACTCTGGGCCTGAGCACTGTCCCTCAGCTCTTCAGCTCAAGGCTAGCGCTCTACCACTTGAGCCACAGCACCACTTCCAGCTTTTTTCCCCCTGCTTATGTGGTGCTGAGGAACGGAACCCAGGGCCTCATGCATGCAAGGCAAGTGCTCTACTACTGAGCTACCTTCCCAGCCCCCTCCTGATATATTCTTTCTGGAAATGCCCTCAACACAATCTAGAAGTGTGCTTCATTATTCTCCCAGGAATTTCTGAGTCTAATCAAGTTGACCAGTAAGATTGGGAACAACACAGTAATATAGGTACCTCTGACTTGTCTGGGACTCCTCTATTGAGCTATGCACTGAAATTACAGTTGTCAATTTCCTTTCTTGCCATCTCCTCCACCTTAGAGTTAGATGGAGGGGTTGGGGGTGTGGCTCAAGTGGTACTGCCCCTGCCTAGCAAAGGGAAGAACCTGAATTCAAAGAAGGAAAGAAATGTAGGTGGAATGTGAGCTGCTGTTGCTAACAATGTATTCCTCATCTGTAAGATGGGATACATGTTTTCCTGTCATGACTAATTCACAGATGGTCACCAGAAGATAATTTTTTGGCTAGGCATAGTAGTGTGTGGAAGAAGAGGTTCATAAGTTCAAAGCCAACCTGAACTATATAATGAGGCACTGGCCTGCTGTAACAGCAATAACAGAGAGAGAGAGAGAGAGAGAGAGAGAGAGAGAGGAGAGAGAGAGAGGGGGGAAGAAAAGGAGGAGAAGGAGGAAGACAAAGAGGAGACAGAGAGAGAAGGGCATTTTGGAAGAAGTATGAAATATAGACTGACATATATTCAAACCACAAACAAGAGAAATTGGGGCCCAGTGAAAGAATCTGTGTCAGGCATGGTAGTGTATGTGTATAATCTCCAGTGAAGTGGGAGGCAGAGATGAGAGAATCAAGGTCAGAAGCCACCAAGAGCAAAACTGAGACCCAACCTGAAAGACCTTACCAAAATGGACTAAAAGTGCTTGGGTTTAGTGCTCAAGTGGTAGAGCCTGCTTAACATGATCTCTGAATTCAAACCTAATACTGTAAAGAAGAAGAAAGGGGGGAGGGGGGAGGAGGAGGAGGAGGACAGAGGAGGAGGAGAAGGACCCTGAGTTCAAAACTTGACTATTTCAAGCACAAATCCAACAGGGTCCCTTGGTGAACAGCGTGTGAATGAATGACCATCCCATTGTAGCTCAACTCCGGGAGTCGCTCCACAGGGCTGGAAACCTCTGTCTGTCCTGGGGGGGGGGGGTGACTTCCACTCGGAAGCCTCCGAAGGTCCCACGGAAACGGACCTTTTGTGAAGTTTTCCCTCCCGATCGCCAGGCAGCCCGAGGCGGAAGCTGCTGGGATCTGCGGCGCAGGCTCGTGTCCCGCAAAAGGAAACGCGATCTGGGCTCTCCGGCCACGCGCGCAGGCTCGCGGCTCCCGTCTCCTGCGGGTCCCCACGGATGGACGCAGCACCCTGAGCAGCCACCGAGAAAGGAGGGCGGGGAGAGCGGCCGCAGAGACGCGGGCTCCGAGCTGGGACGTGCCCGCCGGCCTCCCCTCCTCCCGGTCCGCTCCCCACGGAGAAGTGCTGCGAGCGAACCCAGAACCAATGAGCTCCGAGCCTGCGTGCTTCCCGGGCCCTCCCCGGGCCTCCCGAGGGTTCAGTCCCACGCACAGTTCTAGAATCCTGTCGGGGGGGGGGGGGCAAACGTCAGCCCGTTAATTACTTTGAAACAAAATGTAGCTAATTGCCCTAATTGCTCTGGGGCCCGGTCACCCTGCCCCTGGCGGGCCAGCCCCCTGGCGGGCCAGCCTGGTGGCGTGCGGTCTCGGCCCCGGGGAGAACCATAGTGTGGCAGGTGAGGAGTTGGCCAGGAGAAGCACCCGGTCTGCCTGCGCCCCCCTCCCTACCCGCTGGGGTCAGGCTGGAGCCCCCAGACGCCTCGGCGGTGCCCTGCCAGGAGAATCTGAGCATCCTCCAGCCCCCCCTGATCCTCCGTTACAAAGCCTAGCTCTGGGGAGCCTTGGCCTGTTTCTCCACTCCCTGACCAACTCGGGAAAGCAGTCGCCACCCCTCCCGTTACCTCATTTCATTAAAGATCATTTTCCGATATGGTCCAAGTAGATTATTTGCACATATGACAGTTGTTTTTTAAGAAGGGGGATGTAGCGAGAGAGGGCTAGAAGGGATGAGGTTGATCTTCCACTCCCTCCCTTCCTTCCCCCCTTCTTTCCCTTCCTTCCCCCCTTCTTTCCCTTCCTTCCCCTTCTTTCCCTCCCTCTCTCCTTCCCTCCCTCCCTTCCTTCCTTCCTTCTTCCTTCCTTCCTTCCTTCCTTCCTTCCTTCCTTCCTTCCTCCTCTCTCTCTTTCCTTCTCCCCTCCCCGCCCCCCCCCCCGGTACTGCGAAAGGCCTTGTGCTCGCCCTTAGATTTTTCGCTTAAGGCTGGCACTCTAAAATCGGAGCCACATCACCACTTTCAGCGTTGTGCTGGTTGTTTTTATTTGCGGGGGGGGGGGGCTTGCTTTTGCTTCTTGTTTTTGTTTGGGTTTGTTTTTGCTTTGGCTAGATGATTCTCTCCGATTTGTCTATCTGGGCTGGCTTTGAACCACGATCCTCAGATCTCAGCCTCCTAAGTAGCTAGGATGACGAGAGTGACCCTTGGGCGCTGGGCGGTGAAACTCTCCTGTGCAACTAATGTATACTAATAAAAATAGTTTAAAAATGTTTACCTGTCTGTCCCATCTCCCCGTCTCCTCGCATGGTACATTCTTGAGAGCAGAGACCTTGCTTGTCATATTGTATCCTCGAAACAGCAGACCCTCTATTGTTTGCTATTAAATAACTGAACTGACGGACACACACACACACACACACACACACACTAGGAATCACACTTTGAGACACCCTTCCGAAAGAAAAGAGCTTCCGAGGTACTTCTGGGAGGGGGGGGGGTCTCTGATCAGAATTTGGGGAAGAATTCGGGTCTAGTACTTCTACCTGAGAACCTTCCCCCCCACCCCCAGTCCTCATCTAGAAAACTGGGCTTGCCTTTAAAACCAAATAGGTCACTTGATTTTATTGAGGGTGTTGGCACAACTTATGGTCATGATGCTCCGCGCCGCGCTGACCAGGACTGGGGGTGGGGGGGCGGCGGTCCCCAACCAACACAGACACAGGAGTCTCCCAGTAGTACCTGGCTCCCGCAAACACTGGTTGCTGGCTCCCTGCAGCCCCCCCCCCGGGCTGTGGAGCCCGCGCCCCTAGGGCCGCTCTTCTCATTGGCTGAAGTCATTCCCCCCTGACTTCTTATTGGCTGTTGCACTTTGCTCTCCGCCCCCGCACGGGCCGCGCGTCGCAGCAGCCGGGACCGCGGCTCTGAGTCCCGCGGTGGCGCCAAGGCAGGACTCGCGCGCTCCGGGAGCGGCTAGAAACCCGCCGGGCGCGCATTTTTTCAGTGAAGTCGATTTTCCCAGCCGGGGACGTTCTGGTAGAGCGGAGACTAGCAAATGGGCGCATGAAGAAAGAGAGACAGCAGAGAAATGGACTGCTATTTGCGTCGCCTCAAACAGGAGCTGGTAAGAGCCGAGCTGGCGCGGGGAGCCCGGGCGGACTGCTGAGCCCCGACGGGCATCTGCTCTCCATCCTGGGCTCCAGGGAGCCAAGACGTGCGCCGGGCACAGAAAGATCGGGAAGGGGTGGAGAGGACGCGAACGGACAGGTAGAAGACAGGGCCTGCGGCTCAGAGGAAGGGACCCTGCGGAAACTTCGGGCAACGATTTGGGATGAGAGCAGGACAAGTGACAGACAGGCCGACTAAGTATGACAGCGCAACTGGGGGGGGGGGGAGAAAAGAGAGCAAAAGCCAGAAAGGACAGCTACACAGGCAAATAAGTCTCAGGCGCCAGGGCCCCGCAGGCGCGGGAATGACAGGCCGCAGGCAGTGGGAGCGGGTCCCGGGGTGCTCGGATTGCGCTGGGCTTCTGGAGCGCGCGCGCAAATGGAGCCCGAAGGGTGCGCGGGCCAGATCCCTGCCTGGAGCCGGAGGTCACCGGGGACCGGCCGCTCCTCGGAGGACAGCTAGCTCCGCCCTGGCCCCCTCCCGGCTTGGCAGAGCTGGCGCGGCTGCGGGGGCAGGCTGGGCCGGCTGTCTGCCTGGGCTTGTCTGCCAGCAGGGAGGGGGGCTGGCAGCTGTAATGACGGGGGGAGGCGGGGTGCCGCCTGGCAGATCGCGAGAGGGAGTTGCGGAGGCCCAGCCAGATGTCAGGTCTAGGCTTGGGGAGAGTGCGCAGGGAGCGCGAGGAGGCCCGGGGTGCTGGGGAGGCGAAGTAGCTTAGTCTGGCGAGGTGGGAGAGTGAATCACCGAAGTGAAATGGCAGAGTTAGCGACTGCTAAAGCTATATTAGGTAGGCCAGGTGGGTTGATTTCATATTCCACCCGCCCCCATCCCCGCCCTCATCTTCTACCTTTAGCATTTCTTCAACCACATGAATTCAGCCAGATTTCAGATATTACTCCTCCCCCTTTTCTGCTCTGTGCTTCTTTTCTTCAATCAGAACTCTTGCCTTCTGCTTTTAGATGTCTCTTTTAGGTTGTCTCTCCTGGAGGCGGCCTCTTCCATTTTCCTTTGCTCTCTTCTTTCTTCTTCGCAGAGCTAGGGGCACTCAAACACACAACACCAGACCTGGATCCAGGAAGTTTCAGCTTGTGGCTCTCCAGATTGCACGACAGCCTGCGCCACTTCTGTCCACCGAGGTTACACTCTTCCTGCTTGGGAGGGAACTCTGGCAGTGTGTTAGGGGCCAACTTGAGGGGACAGAAGAGGGGCCTGGTGGAGGAGAGAATCAGCCTGGAGAGGCAGGTGTTCTCCTAGATACTTCTGGAACAAATCATCCTGACACTCTTCCTGACTGTCCAACTCCATGGTCTACTTGCCCAGGTTCATGATCAATTCTTTTCCTCCTTCCTCCAAAAGCCCTGTCAGTGTTGACATGTCAAGGTTACTGGCCCAGATAACTTTCCTATACTCGGTTTTCACGTGCCTCTCATGCCAATTTATAATGGTGACCTCAGCCCCCACAAATAACTCTCATTTTTCCCATTCGTGTGTCCAAAGGTCAGGGTCATCACAGATAGTGTTTGAGGTTCAAGGCCTATGCTGAGAAAGAAATCGAATAGAATCCTCCTCTTTGTGCTTGGAATAGGGGACTGCGCCACCCACATCAGGATCTGCCTTCATGGAGGGTTTGTGGGTGTTCCTGGCATGGGCTCGAATTTTAAAAATCCTACTGATTTGCATTTTTTACAGCACCCTAGGTGGGAGGTGGTGAGGGGAGGAAGACAGGCTGTGGATGCCAGGAGAATTAAAAAGGCAAATAGGGATCTGCTCCAAGCCGAGCTCTAAATCTTGATTTGCACCCTCTCCTGCCAAAGGTCTTGAGGAAGGGGAGAGGCTGAAGTCACCCAGCTCCCCATCAGCTTTCATTTGGCCCTTTGTCGGAGCAGCTTGAGCCTTTGACTCTCTTGGAGAGGAAGCCAAATGCCTGGCCTCAGGCCCAGAATGGCACTCAGATGGAGAGCTCAGCACCCTTCCTCCTGGTGCTCCACCCCCTCCCCATGCCAGCTTACTCAGAGAGGAGACAGGCCGAGCTATCTGAGTCTCTCTCCCTCTCTGACACCTCAGCCCAATGCCTACATAGTAGGACCAAATCTCCACACCTTAGTATCCAATGAAAGTAAAGGGAACCATGCCTGAGTTAGTCCATGGTCAGTCCTTTGGCTGTCATTTTTTTTAAACTATACTGGTGAAGCTGGGCACTGGTGGCTCATGCCTGTAGACCTAGCTATTCAGGAGGCTGAGATATGAGGATCCCAGCGAGTAACCAGCCCAGGAAAGAAAGTTTATGAAATGCTTATCTCCAAATTAACCACCAAAAAGTCAGAAGTGGAGGAGTTGGTCAAATGGTAGAGCACTAGCCTTTAGCGAAAAACCTAAGGGACAATATCTAGGGCTTCTGTTCAATCGCCAGTACCTGCGTGCATGTGTGTGCACACTAATACACACAGACCTTAGGGACTGAGTTCAGAATAGCTTGGCAATGGCTGGATAAAGGAGTAATTGACATGTTTATACCCAGGGCTTCGATAGGGTGGGAAACACATGCAGTCAGTTTAAGTCATGAGCTGGGAAGGAGAGAGGTGCCTGTCATCTCTGACAGGATCCTTAGTTCCACCCAGGAGGATGGTGTATTGCCTTGTTCTGCCCTAAATTGGTTTATGCCCAGGAATGGTCTTGTGTAACATCCATCAAGTTCTACATTCATTTATTTCACTAAATCCCCTTCAAGAAGTATCCATCCTGCAGACACTATAAGACAGACTTGCTGCAAATGGCAACAAACATTAACAGGTTGTGAAAATGTCTTTCTTCAGGGTGCTCTGTAGTTTCCTTCTTCATCCTGGCTCTCAGGTTGACCCAGAAAATTAGGACAAGAAGAGCCTGTTCGAGGAAATCAAAAGTAGCAAGAGTTTTCTGACTTCCTGAAGCAGAAAATTTGCATCGTAACAAGGGAGCACTGGAGAAAGGCTAGGGTTTGGGGATCCTGGCTTAATTAAGCTGATGGCTGGAGTGCTGGTCTGGTCTCCCAGCCTGCAGAGGGAGCAGGAGTCAGGTTTCATGGGAAAAAAGTGGCTAGAGAAGGAGCAGCAGCTGACACACTTCTTCATTAAAAATAGGGAATTGGGCTAGAAGGACTCAGCAGGGAGCGCACATCTCTTTTCCATCCAGCCACCAAAGTGAGGCCCTGCCTGAACACAGGCCTTGGGACCAGCTGTTCCTTACACACCTCTCCCTTGTGGGCTTCCAACCAATGGGGGTAGACACAGACACACTGGAGAAGCAGATGTAAGTTGTTCACAAGGCATTCATTATGAGTTCAGGACAATGTAGAACCAACAGAATGCATAAAGGCTGAGTGATCAGGGTTTATGAAGTTCATCCTGGAATGCTTCCTGGGGGATGGGGAGGTTGGAGAAGACTGTCTTCTGGAATATCCATCCTGGCTGAGCCATGGAGAAGCAACTTCTCTTAGGTCCTGCTAAGGTCCTAACTATAAAAAGATAATAATTCTCCAGTTTCTAGTAGGTACGAAATTCAGGAAGATCTGGCACTCAGGCAAAAAACTAGGTCCTAAATGCAAAGTGAGAAGAAAAGAAGTTACAGTAGCTACAGCTTTCAATTTTTAGGGAAAAGTTGCACATTTCTGGAGGCAGGAGAAAAAAGATTTTTCTTCCAAAGGATTTAGTCTCCCTTCCTGGTTGGAATCAAGGATTTCAGGACTAAGATCATTTAGAAAAATGTGATGGATCGTGCCTGTAATCCCATCTGAGGGTCATGGTTCCAAGCCAGCCTGAGCAGAAAGGTTCATGAAATTCTTATCTCCAATTAGCCAGCAAAAAGCTGAAAGTGAAGGTGTAGCTCAAGTGGTAGAGCACCAGCCTTGAATGAAAAGACCAAATGAGAGCATAAGACCCTGAGTTCACACCCCAGTATTAGCATACACACAGGAAAAAAAGTGTGCATTTGAGGACCAGCAAACTTGAGCTCATATTTTGATTCCGTGTAATCTTGTCACGACTTAACCTCTTGTGTATCTTAGTTTTCTTCCTCTAAAATGGGTTTTAAAAATACCTATTTCATACAGCTAGTAAATGGCAACCTAAGTGAAGTGCCTCCCTGTCCTGGAGCTTGAACTCAGGCCTTGGGTGCTATCCCTGAGTTTTGTGCTCAAGGCACTCTACTACTTGAGCCACAACTCCACGTAAGTGCTCTCTGTCTCTCTCTCTCTCTGTCTCTCTGTCTCTCTTTCTCTGTCTCTCTCTGTCTCTGTCTCTCTCTGTCTCTGTCTCTCTCTGTCTCTGTCTCTCTCTGTCTCTCTCTCTCTCATTAATTATAGAAGACTCTCAAGGACTTTCCTGCCCAGGCTGGCTTCAAACCATGATCCTCAGATCTTAGCCTCCTGAGTAACTAGGATTATAGGCATGAGCCACCTGCTTTGGTAAACTCTTGATGTTAGATTGATCAGACTAGTTTGAGTGAGTCATTCATTCCCTGAACATGTTTACTGAGTTCATTCTGTGCTTAAGACACTGAGCAGCCACCGGAGTTGTGGATATAAATAAAACTAGACCCAGATTCTATCTTCAGGGACCCTTTACTTTAATATTAGCATCAATATGCAAGACATATCATTCATTTGTCCAATCAACACTAATAAATTATACTTTCACTGTTTCATTAAAAAAATGAAGGGTTAATTGACTTGGCTTAAATCACAAAGCTGATTATGGGTTCAAACTAAGCCAGTCTGCGCAAGAGCCTCCTCTTCTAACCAATGCAGAATATATCTAGAAACCTCTAATATAGAAATAGAGGATACATGCTTGATAAGAAGCATGGTTTCAGTGCTTTGAGAAGGGAAAGGGTGACCAACTGAAAAGGCTGGGAAAGCTTCCTGTCATGAAAGAGCTGGCCTGTAAGGAAGACGTTGAGGGATCTAAAGGGATGTGCATAGGAGAA